CTTCTCTTAAGGGTATAAGGGAATTTGATGCCGAAAGCCATAGAAAAGTGGCTAAACAGAAAGTTGAAATTTTCTCAAAAGAGTAACCCTCAGGTTCTCAATTTCTAATTATCAAATAACAAAATTCAACTCCTAGAATTAGGGTCATAAGCACCCTTTTATAAAGTAATTACAAATTGATTCAAAGTTCTAAATCTAAAATTCTAAACATAATAAAACTTCCTAAAATAAATATAATAGTAATTAACATCTAAAAATAAAAAAAAGTTACAAATAAATAATTCAAAATACATCACAAATCTTTAATCTTAAATCACGCCAAATATGTTGCTTTCCTTTTCTTCCCAAACAAATCACAATCATATCTGCTGCTTTAGTGAGACTTGGGTTCGATTGTAATTTATTATATTTCAAATCATTTCTTCTTTCAACAATTGGGCCATACTTATTAGGCCACAATTCTAGTTGACTACGAATTTCTTGAATCAATGATTGAGCCATGTACAATAAGCCAACTATAAGTGCATCAGAATTACCAAAGTTCCCCTTTGTTTGAAACCATACTCTTCTTTTGCTCGCCGCTCCAACAGTCCCAAAAACTCAGGATCAGTCAAAAGTGTAACTCAACAAGAAACGTTTAGGTTTCTTCACCCTTTTTAGAAAATACTACAAAACGTTCTTCCATAATGCCATATGACACAACTGTTGATGTACCCGGTTGATCTTCCTTCAAGTAGCTTATTGCAGGGGATCTCTTTGGAACAAACACTGCGAAACCATCGTGTGTGCGTATATATATATATATATATATATATATATATATATATATATAGGGTTTAGTGAGTGTTTTTTTAAAGAACACAAGTATGTCATTTTAGCAGTTTTAACTATGTATTTTAAAAAATACATAGTTATAATATTAAGGGAAAACTTCAAAAAAAACCCTACAAGCTTTCTCAAAATCACTTAACCCCCTCCTTGAAATTTGTAATCATTTACCCCTACTTAAAATTTCTTTATCACTTACTCCCCTAATTTGATTTTCCATCCAAAATTTTGTTAACAGAGTTTAATTTTTTAAAAGGTACCAAAATTATCCTTAATAGAAAAAAGAAAAACATAATTTCCTCACAAGCGCGGTTTTAGACAAACTCGCGTAAGCAAGACATGAATGTAAATCAACGATTGAATCCTCCCTCTACTCTCAACGACACAGAAAACAACGAAATAGTATAAGTTGGTAATATCATATGATTAAGGAAAAAACAAGGCATATATGAAGCACATAACGTAAAGGTTTTCAGTTGTTGTGCAAGCAAAATAAAGTGCGGCTCTGAATACATTTATAAAGTCAAGTTTGTTGGTCATATAATAGAGGAAAAGCTTATAACATAAAAGGGAAGATCTAAACCTGGTAAGATAATGCCTCTTTAATTATTTTATTGGAACAATGGCACCAATAATTGTGAGTGTGGTGTTCAATAGCAATGGGATTTGCAAGAAACAATTTGAATAATTATTAATTCTAATAAGGCTACCTTAAAGAAGACATTCCGTGAGTTCGTCTAAACTGTGTTTGTGAGGAAATTGTATTTTTCTTTTTCTATTAAGGGTAATTTTGATATTTTTTAAAAAATTTAACTTTGTTAACAAAATTTTGGATGAAAAATCAAATTGGGGGATAAGTGATAAAGAAATTTTAAGTAAGAGGGTAAATGATTAAAATTTTTGGGGAGGGGGTAAGTGATTATGAGAAAACTTGTAGGGATTTTTTTAAAGTTTTCTCTAATATTACAGTTATATTTTTTTTTTCTTTTCAAATAAAGTTGTCTCTATCGTGAAAAGTAAAAAAAGTACAATTTTATTATTGTAAATATGTATTTTTAGAAATATATAGTTAAAAACGGTTATAAGTTGTGTACGCCACTCTTTTCTCCCTTAAAACAGTATATTTGTTTTTGAATAGGGTCTGAATTAATGCATTCCTAAATCGAGATAATTAGATATTGGAAAATAATTATCTCATATCAACAGAGACAAAATAGTAGAGTTCACTATTTTTTTTTATTTTTTAAAAAGTAGTGGACCTCACAATTTTATTTTTGTTGCATGAGATAATACGAGATTAATAAATCTCTTAGATATTCTCATACTGAACTAGATCCCCACTTCTGCGCACATGCGCCTCTCCCACGAGTGAAGGTGCATTACTTCACTCACCAGTGGGGTTCACAAGGGCAAAAAAGGTTAGACTCAAGCATGACCATAGGTTTCTACCCTTATAAATACTTATCTTCTCCATTGAGGAGACACATTTGTATTACCATTTTTCTTGCTTGTCACTCTGCTGGAATATAGCTACTCATAAAGCCACCATGCCCTTACACCTCCTCCTCATCCTTAGTATTCTCGCAAGACTTATACCCTTAGTGAGAAACAAATCTAATCCTAACACAAGCAATTCAATATTCTAACGAATTAATATCTTTCTTTGATAGAATCAATATAGTGATCATTTATTGAGCTTGAAAGCTTGTTTAGATTAGCTTGCAGTTTCATTATTGTAGAATATGGATACTAATAATGACAAGCTCTATAAGTTGGAGAGGCATACACGAAATTTCTTGAGAGAAATAACTGCGTGGAGCCTGTGCTTAATGTTGGTGCAGAAACATGCAACTTAATGCAACATTTTGGAGGTCTTTTTCATCCTTCTGGATTCGTGTAGACAGTAGGCGTGTAAATACTCGGTACATGGCATTTGTGGTGTACAGGGAGGGGAGGTGGTTCATCCGTGGTGTTTTTTGGTACCTTGTGGGATATATAAATGTGCATGGTGTCGGCAAAATGAATAAGACGAACTGTTCCTATTCAACTTAATTTTCAAAATGTGATGGTTGATTTGGTAAAACCAGATATATGGAGATATGTGAAACTTTGTACTTGTTCATCGAATGTGTTTATAATATTGGACAATAGGTTACCATAAAATCTTATGATTTGCTCAATTAATTTATTATTTATTTTAGATCAATTACTGTTGTTGGAGTATTCAAGATGAGTCCCACATTGATTAATAATGACCTAAGTTAAAAGTATATAAATGAAATAACCCATGAATCCAATCCGTTAAAGTTTTGTGATGAGTCTGATCATAGTGGTCACATCTAAATCCAAACCCGTGTTATATACAAGGAAGTAGGGGTGTTCGCGGTGTGGATTGAATCGGTTTTGGAAGCAAAGATCATCTGATCCAATCTCTTTGGTTTGTTCATGTAATCATCCATTCGGTTTGGATTTTTTTTCAAATCCGAACCGATCCAATCCAATTTTTTTCAGTTTTGGATTGGATCGGTTTTCGGTTTTTTGAAAATTTTAGAATTTGTTTCATGGTTATTGTGCAAATAACTTCTTTTGTATATATTGACTTTATAAATTTAATTTTTTGAAATATAAAAGCATCAATAGACGACAATATAATTTTTTTTGGACAATGAGATACGAAACTCTACGCAGATGAAATTTTGTTGATGAGATCTGATTAAGTTTTTTATTGGGTATAGAAATTTTTGGGCTATGATTGGGGAAATGCCCAAGTAGATAGAGAGGAATTAATATATTGGATCGGTTTGGATTGGATCAGTTTTCATCAACCCATCCGAAAACCGATCCAATCCAATTAAAATTTGCGATTTTTTTTTTGTTTTCGGTTTATTCGGTTTTTCGGTTCGGTCACCGCGGTTTGAATCGATTGATGAACACCCCTACAAGGAAGAATAATTAAAATTCAAATGATTTTTACTTTTTTATAACCTGATATAAATATATTTCACGTAAAAGTCACAATCATCATAATGCTCAAGAATATCTAATGTGTTTTATACCTAATATTTTAACATAGATTAATTTGTATGTAGCATATATACACTACAACAAACTGTGCAAATGAAGGCGGTTGTTTTGTCTATCAGAGGCGGTCAAAACCGCCTGCATTTAACTCATTTGGCGGTTGACAATTCGCCTTTGTTACCACGGTCGAGACGTCATTCTCAGGCGGTTTAGAAAAACCGCTGGAACAGCTGCCACAGTATAACAAGGGCGGTTCTTTCGTCGGGTAAGGTCGTCGTAGGATATTCCAAAAATGATGAAATTCTCAGCTGCAGGCGGTAAGACTAACCGCCAAAGATGTCAATATTTCGACGCTTATGAGGGCGGTTTATGTAGTCGGCAAAAAATTATGGCGTTTAGGCTAACCGCCTGCTATTTCCATACAGCAACGTTCAACGTGACTTGTCACTCGGTCAGCATAGTTTACGGAAAAATGTGAAATAATTTCTGGCGGTGGGTGAACCGCCTCGTGTTGGAGTTCGCGGATGGTCTTTATAACCGCCAATATTAAACTTTTTAATATTTTTAAAAAAGCTTAAAATTAATTTGAATTATTATTTTGTTTTAATAAAAAATCCCCTATTATTTTAATCAGAGGTTTATAAACATTGATGCATTAGAATAGTAAAGAAAAAAGTAAACAATTTTTTGTTAGGTAAGGAGGGCATAACCCCAAAAACATTAGAAACATTCTCCAATCTTTAAATTCCGAAACATATTTACCAAAGGTTAATATTCAAAACCAAAATAGATAACCTGTCAAAAAAGTATAGTATTATTTTAATCAAGGCTTTATAAACATTCATGCATGGATCGAGGATATTTATGCAAAAAAGTAAACATCATTCATTCTTTAAGTTTGGAAACAGTGACATACATATTGACCAAAGCTTAATTAACATACAAAAGCAAAACAGACCAAGCTGGTTGAATGTAGAACGTACCAAGGTCATCAATTACATCAAAAAAAAAAAGATCCAGGTACTGCCTAACTTGAAAAACATTGGAATTCAACCAACAATGTTAAACTCCAAAACGACCAAATTCCATGTACAACCACTGAAATATCCAAAATACAGTGGTTCAATGAACACCTACCAAATCATGTGAAATTAGGATTGTGGTGGTTGGGGTGCTTGATTTGATATAGTTGGCCCATCAGAAGGGTCATGACTAGCATGGGAGGACTTTCTGATTCCAGGAGAGCCCAAGTCAACAACCTGATATATTAGGAAAAAAGAAAACATATATTAATCCATAAGTTAATTTTAAGAAAAAGGTTAAGAAAACGCAAAAAAAATATAAAGCAAAATGAGGTTGAGAATTAATCAGATTTCTATTATTGACAAAACTGGAGTATATACACTTGAGGTAACAGCTCTAGGTAAATGTATCAGTGACATAAGCAGTAACTGACCATAAGTAGGTAGAACAGAACAATAACGAATTACTTAACAAGGTTAGAGAGTGCAACTGAGCAACCATATAATCCATACACACTAATAATCCAACAGAACTGAATCTTTATCCCAGCAACCATATAATCCATACAAACTAAATATGTATCCCAGCAACCATATAATCCATTCCTAATTTTTTTATGCAAACTGAAGGAATCAGCATCTATGAAGTTCAGACTATATAATGTCATAACACTACAAGGCCAACAGTGGAGTACATATATAGCAGGTGTGGTGACATATATCAAGTACAATGGAAACTTAGATTTTACCAAAAAAACAATTGTAATTCATCTTCCAATAAAAATAACAATATTGGCAGTGCAGCCATATATAGAACAGTTTTTTCAAGTTGGAACAGTCACCAACCATATATATATTTCCAGTTTTTTCAAGTTGGAACAGTCAACAACCATATTTCCAGTTTTTTCAACTTGGAACAGTATCAAACTTTAAGCACACTGTCAATCCGAGTTCAATAAATGATAAATATATCAAGAATGAAAAAAATATCAGAATAGCCAAAGATAATTAATACCACATCACAACCTTCATGTTTTGCACTAGTACCACAGAGGTAACAAAGGAAACAAAAAAATAGTGAATCTGAAGGTGCAATTCGCAGAAAAGCCTACCATATATATATATATATATATATATATATATACATATATATATATATATATATATATATCTACCAAACTTTAAGCACAATGTCGATTCAAGTTCAATAAATGATAAATATCTGAAGAATGAAAACAATATCAGAATAGCCAAAGGACAATGGTGCCACACCACAACCTGAAATGCTTTGCACTAATAGCACAAATTTTACAAAGGAAAAAAAAATATAGTCAAACTGAATATGCAATTTACAGAAAAACTGCCATATACCTGATTAGATGGTGAGTGGCCAACAAAATTTTGCATAAAATGTGCCATTTGCGATTTCAATGTATCAAACTCAGCCATCTTGCCTTTTATAGTGTCCAATTCTCCTTTCAGGGCATCATACTCAGCTTGTGTAGGACCACTACAAGAAGTTGAGGCTGAACTGGTAGATGTTCTACGGATTTGGCTTGGGACCACCCCAAAACCCATGCCTCTAACTCGACCTGGGTGCTCCTTCCCAAACACATTTACAAAAGCCTCATCTTCGAAATTGGCTTTATCCATCTCTATAATTAAATTATCCTACATACAGGGCATGAGAACCTTGTATAAGTGTACCTCAAAGCTAGAAATTGATATAAAAACAAATTACAAGGAAGTGTTAATACATTTTTTAGCCTAGCTTCCTCATTCACAAAATTGCCATCCTTTTTGATATGAGAAACAGCATACATCTCACCTCTGCTAAATTTGCGTCCTTCTTGTATCTCCTGACAAATGCCATGACACCAAGCCCATTATTTCCATTAATTACAGAAGCAAAATAGTGACATAATAAAAGATTAAACATTTTAATAAAACCATACCAGCTCCCTTTTCCTCCTTGCTAACGTCTTTGAGCCAAGTGTGTGTGGGATTGTTTGTTTCTGTCTATTTGCAGTATTGATAATACTATACTTCTGCATGATGGAAGAAACAAAATAATTAACATATTAATTTTGAATACAAGTGACAGCAACATACAAAGGCAGTTTTGCATCCTTCGTTACCTTTGCCTTCTCACTTGTTTTGTATGTCAAAAAACTTGCCCATTGTTCTCTTGTCATGCCTTCAGGGTAAAGATCAAGGTTTTCCTGAAAAGTTTTATCTTTCTCATATATTTCATTGGCTAGTCTCCACCTATTGTCTTTCCATTTCTTACCCATGTTGCCCATACAATAATGGTAGTGGTCATCATTATCCATAACGAATCTCATCATCATTGATGTACCACATACCGATATTTTACTCATCATTTACACAATTATGCCAAACATGGAAGGAAACTTTTAATAATTTACAACAAATACAAGACATACCACACAAATCTTTATCTTCCTGTGGTTGACTGAAGAAGATACTTCACAAGATCGGTTGAGAACTGCAACAAAATGAATGAGCCTTCCACTGAATTATTAATCTGAAGATGTAAATACAATAATTATAAAGTCACATTACAGCATGGGTTACTGAACAAAACATTCATGTGAACAAAATGGAAAAAGCACTCAACAAAATGGCTAGGAAACATTTTGAAAAAATGATCTATTTATAAAATTTATCGTTACCTTACTTATGGCCATGGAACAATCCCATTAAAAAGTAAGGAATGAGTTTAGGATTTGAAACAATCCCATAAAAAGTAAGTGTGTAAATAGGTTGGATTAAATTAAATTTTAACTTAAATAAGTCATGCCATGTAGAACATTTTGACTCTGATGTAACCAATTAAATAAGTCATGCCATGTAGAACATTTTAACTTAAAAAGTCTGATCCTTCTGACTAATTAACTAGTACATATATTTAAGAGACACTTTGGTAATAGTGAGCAGCAAGTAATGATGAGAGTTTGCTAAAAGAAAGTAGAAAAACAATATCAATATTGAATGAACGAAGCTGGACGCTGAATCCAGAATTCAATTTGGTCAGATAAAGACAGTGGCCATGGTCAAAGACCATAAATGTCAGTAATAAAAAGATTCTCGAAAAATTAACGGTTGACTCTTTATGGGCTAAAATCGAATCAGTAGCCATAGGTATCTGAAACCCATGGCTAAAATCGAATTGAGTTGTTTTAAGTCCAACTTTTCAGCAAAAGAAGCTTCTACTGGTAGTTTTGGTCTAATTGAACTGGTTGGACACTTAGACCAACATCTGCAATGTTAGACTTGTCTGAATTATTATCCTCACGTGTGTTTTCCTTGATTCGTTTATTCATTTTTTTTGTTTCTCCTACTAGTTCGTCAAATAGAAACTAACATTTTACTTGCTCAAAAAGTCACTCTTATTTGCTCATATTCAAATTAATTTAAACCTTTGGGATAGTCAGACTTTAAAAAAGCCCATTATTGACTGGGGAGGTTTTCTTTAACCCGGCCAGTTGAATTCTGTTCCAACACTGTTGGATTCTGTTCCAATCCTAATTACTTCTTTGAGACGAGTAGATTCCAAATATTTTAATAAATTTCAACTCTTTAAGACAGCTATGAGGTTATTCTCGAATCAAGTAGTAACTAATTTAAAGCATACCTAAATACAATCAAAATTTGCATAAATTATAATTTACAGAGAAAACTCAGGGACACCAAAATCACTGCCAGACACACCCAGATTTCTCTTTATCAGCTCTTACAATCATGACCATCAACTTCTCATTTTCCCACACAACACCCACACCAACAAGAACAACCACAGCCACTGAATTAGGATAATGGGGTCCATGCTTTATTCTTATACAGTAAATTGAACTACTATTCCTACTAGCAAACCACTGAATCATATTATTTGATCATTTTTTAGTCTTTCTAGAATGCAACAAAAACAAAAAATTCAACTACTATGTTCTGAAAAAAGATAACAATAAATAACCCAATAAATAATAAAGAAAAAAGAAAGTAGAAAAAATTACACAAAAAAAAATGAGAGACAAAATAGGAGAGCAAACAAAAAAAACTTCAAAACCTTACACGAAAAAAAAAAATACCAAAGCCACATTTTGAGAGTAAATGATAATGAGAGACAAAATAGTAAATTTTACCTGGAAAACCCTAATGAGAGACGGAGAAGAAGAGACGATACCTTCGAACACTTCGCCCAGATGGGTTGAATAGCAGATTAGGGCAAACGGTGAAAGAGACACTGTGAATGAGAGGTGCAAACCACATTTTGAGAGCAAATGAAAACGATAATGAGAGACAGAATAAGAGAGACGGAGAAGAAGAGATGATACCTTCGAACAGTTCGCCCAAATTGGTTGAATAACAGATTAGGGCAAACGGTGAAAGAGACACTGTGAATGAGAGGTTAGGGCTTTGGGGGAAATTTGGGAGAGATTAAGAAATTGGATTCTTAATCTCCAAAAGGTAAAAAGCCAAATTTGGACACATTTGGAGTCTAGGGTTGCAGTCAGAATAAAAATCGCTAAGTGTGGAGACAATTGCGTATAAGTTATTCTGAGAGGAGTGCCTTTCACATAGGAGGGAAATGTTCCAAGTTGGTAAGAGGGAACAAAAATTTCACTTACGAGGGAAATAGTCCGCTGAACCAAAATTTTAGTCACATATTGTACTATTATTTACACTATATATAAGTACATAATTAAAAAAATGTTTTATTAATAAATAAAACATATATATTAATATTAAATATATATTATTTTTTATACTTAATTTATATTTTTGTTTTCATCATTATTAATCTCATGTGAATTTATAGTAAATTTAGTAGTGATATTATACATTTTATTTTTTATAACCTTAACACGCAAATTTTAGTTTTACTTTGTTGTTTTCATATAATGTATATTTTTAAATTTTATGACAACCGACAAATATTTTTTCATATTACACATTTTAGTTGTCATTTTTATTCTTTAATTAAAATCTGCAAATATTCCTCACCAAAAAAAAATAAAAATTAAACCGGCAAATATCTTTTTCAAACTATTGGCTTTATATACTATAATTTTTGTATAATATCAAAAGTATATTTATTTATTATTATAATCTTTCAAAAATTAATATTCAATTATTTAAGATCTACACACTAATAATCAATTTCAGTAAAAATGAATATACAACATTATATATTAACAAAAATTTACACTCGAAAGCTATATTTATTGTAATAAATTGGTATTAAATTTATTGTATAGTTTTTTTTCTATTATATAAACAGTGTACATAGTATTCACATCAGTTTACACAAGTATATCAACTAGTTAACTCGATCTTATACAATAGTTAAATATACGTTTATATAAGTAAGAATATTTATGAGTATATTAATATACATATATACGTACTTATATCATTATACTACTTTGTGTCTTTAACTTAAAATGATACAATTTTAAATCTTTTTAAAAGGATAAAACAAATTGCCACTGTATATTATATATATCAACACTGAAAGGTCTTCACCAACCGTGTCAATTGAACGTTAAAAGCTTCATAGTTGATAGTGAAACTTACATTCGTAACTATAGGGTTTAGATACAATTTACTTATACTATCTATGATTTTTGTATACTAACATGTAATGGCCGTGAATCAGTCATTCACTCGTTCAATCGCTCGGTTTCCCCCACTGGCAGCTTTGAAACGCGTCTAGCACTCATTGCGTCACACAATTAAACTGAACGAAAAAGAGCCAAAATCAGAAACATACATGTTAAGGTTAGGGTTAGGGTTAGGGTTACATTTAGGATCAGGGTCAAGTTCAGGGTTAGGGTGAGGGTTACGGTCAGAGTCAGGGTTAGGGTTAGGGTATGACATACAAATTGATAAAATTATTCGGTCATGATCAAATTATTCCGGGCAATCTTCATGTTTATCAACATCGAAGCTAAAGTTCTGTGACTGTGGAGAAGCGGCTGTGTTGCGTATGTCTCGAAGACCAAAGAATCCACGAAGGATGTTCTATGGATGCCCTAACTACAAAACAAGTGACACCTATTAGATTATCAGTTTTTTTCTCCTTCGCCAAACAGATTATCAATTTTAAATTCAATGTATTTCTATTATTGTCAATTTTTCCTTCTCTCCAATCTCACATTCTCTCTTTTAAATCCATAGAAACGGAAAATCTACAACTGAATAACGTTGATCGTAAGACTCTAAATGGTATTAATTTTCATTTAATGAATACAAAGAACCAGGAAGTTATTCAAAATATCAAGAATCTCAAAATTCATACATCCGCCTCTGTTTACTGAAACCGCCTACATAAACCGCCTCCGAACATCATTTTTGGGCGGTTAAATAATAACCGCCTTTGTTTAACAAGAAATCGACGACTATTTCCCAGATCCGACGTCTAAACCGCCTGCGTTTGCTCAAATTTTAGGGCGGTCAAACCCAAACGCCAGACATTCCGCCTCCAAATATATTCAAACAAAGGCGGTTACGATATAAAGCCACGAATTCTGACGGTGTGTGATACCAAAAGTCGTCGGCCTTGTTAACTGCCTGGTTACCCGCCTGAATTGTATCTTCTGAGGCGGTTTAGTGGTAACCGCCTAAAATAATCCGACGGCAAAAGCCACTTTTCTTGTAGTGATATAACATTTCTAAAAGATGATCGCCACCAAAGAATAACGGTAACGATTATTATGATCAGTGTTCTCCCCTTCTTCTTCTTCTTTCATCTCCTTATATAGTAACATTCAGTGGCGGACCCAGGAATTTTTCTGTAGGGGGCTAAAAATTAAACATTTGTTTCTCTCTTCAAACTTAATATATGAGAGGTCAAAACACGAAAAATTAAATTTTGTTCCTTTCTTCAACCACAATATGTGTGAGGCCGAAACAACAATCCAGAGAACATAACTCATAAATACCTCTTTTAACTTGTTATAGAGAGAAAGAAGGAGATAGAGAGAGAGGTGGAAGATGTCACAGTAAAATCTACTATCAATTTGAAAAAAACTACAGCTTTTCAACCCCTAAAATGAACATTTTTTATGCAAAGAAAACAAAGAAAAAGAGAAGAGAGCAAATGTTTAGATTTCACAAAAAATATGAACTAATTACTATATCTAAATAGATAATTCAAAGGAGACCCCTCTCATTTCTTAATCTCTTTTTTTTTTTTTTGGAAATATTAATATCTTTTTCTATTTACTCACTGTTAGCCCAACAAGAAAAAAAAAAGCCAAAGATAAATCAGAAGAGACAGATTGCCAAGAAGCACAATCACCAAAAC